AGATGCTATAATATTCTTAAGGATAATCAGATACTGTAAAACATTTGATATTCATAATCAATAATAACAGGCCTACAAAATGACCCATAGTTTGATCCCAACAATTAAGTCTTAAGCGTGCGCCATAAAGTTAAAAATTGTGCCATTACATAAAACTTATACCTTATTTTACTGATTTGTACTGTTACTCCTGGTATTATAGAATATTCACCAATATTTATATGTTTATAATTTAATACTGTATTTATAATAACTTACTTCTAGATAAATTTGGAAATTATGGACAGTTTTTAAAACCAATAAGTGTTGAATGTCTTATTAACCACAAGTTATAGGAAATAATATCCTTTAACTTTATAAAAATAAAATATATTTGCATATTTGATAAACTTATTAGCATATTAAATATTATGTTTTAGGCATTTGGATATTAATTTGATAGACTTTTTTTTAATTTAGTCTTTAAAATAAATCTGAAATAAGTTTGAAAAATGCAATTTATTTGCCGCCTGTTTGCTGTCGATAAGGAATGGGTTGTGTCTGAAGAAAATAATATATTTAGTGTATTATGACTTCTCAGCTTTTATGCTATAAATCAATTGTATTTTTATTAATGTCTATGTTTTCATATGATGTGTTTATGAACAAAATTATTTGCTTTTTTCTCAACTTCTATTATAAAATGTTATTTTTTGCTAAATTGCTTTTTAAGTGTTCAAAGTTGAAATCTCTTAAATAAATACAAATCATTAATGTTATTGCTATTTGGACAAGAATTTTACATTCTATACAAAAGTTATGTAATTTACAGCTTTATACTTTAATTAAACATTTGTACTCTTGAGTTCAAAACATTTTGAACGCTAATATGAATTAACCTTTTCGTGAATATTAAATAAGGTGTTTATATCGAGTGATAAGTTACTATAAATGACTGCATTTCTCCCAAACCTTTCTCATCCCTAACACAACTACACAACTAATGAATGGTTTTCTTTATTTTTGTGCCTCAAAGACAACTTTATTCCACGTTTTGTCTCATATAATGATTTTGTGGCTTCTTTTAAGGCAAAACAAAAATAAAGCACAAAAACAAAAAACAATTAAATGTTTGCCAAATAGTAATCGCAGTTTACTTTCCCAATGAATTTCATTGTAGAAGATTTATGGATACGATATGCTATACACACACAAAGTATGCGATTTTGTTTATGAGGAGTATATTCAAAGCTAATTTTATGAAACAATTAATAATTCATTAATATTTATTATTTATAAATTAGATAAAAACAGAGATTGACTTTATTTTGAAAGCAAGTCTATGGAAAAACAGTATTCAATCCGATGGGTGTCTGAGATGTAAAAACTAATTTATCTTCACTTTGTCGCTCACTTTAAGACCTAATGTTTTGTCTTCATTTATAACAACGAAAAAACTTTGAAATGAATTTATATATAAAACTTGTTATTGTAGTTAATACAGTAATAATAGGGAACTCCAAATTGGAGTCTCAAAGTCAAGTATTTTCTCTTATATTCAATTGGAGTTCACTTTCAGTCTCTTCCATGCAATCAATTTTTATTTTGTTTTCAATTATTGTTGTTTTGGAGAGCATTGGTCGACAAAATAGCTGCAAATCTCATGAAAGCACGTCTCCCTCCCTATCATGTAATACATATTTCCCTCATTTACCAACTTTTACTCAATTCAATACAATTTTTCTAATGAGTTTTGTTTTTGTTTCCCTACAATACATAATAATAATTTAATATGAATTATATTGATACTTTGAGATTTGCTTTTTTATTTTATTAAACTTATTATAGGTAGAGGTTACTGTAAAATGCAGTACTAAAAGTGATATTTACGTACAAAATATTTTGTTTGTTTAAAAATATGATTTTTAAACTGAATTTTATATAAGGAATAATTGTATTCTGTTGTAATAATTCACTCACGAAATTGTCAAAACCGAGTAATCGTCTTATTTTTTTAATTTTAAGATAAATAAAGTACAAGATTTGATGGCACTCAAACTGAATTTTATATAAGGAATAATTGTATTCTGTTGTAATAATTCACTCACGAAATTGTCAAAACCGAGTAATCGTCTTATTTTTTTAATTTTAAGATAAATAAAGTACGAGATTTGATGGCACTCTTGAGAAAAATATTGTATTTCCCTTATATTTTACGACCCATTTCTCAATACTAGTCAACCATTACTTAGAATTGCTTTTTAAGAAAAACTCTTTTGACTGGAATTTCTGTGAACTCTGTATAACCGATGGCCGGACCCCTAGTCTTAAGCTTAACTTAAGTCAAATTCCAATACATTCACTATTGCTTTCAAATTATCATTTGCTAAGTGTTTGCCTTTACATTAGTAAGACATATCAACTTTTACCTTTGTTTGACTGCCCATAAAATGTTATTAATTATAATAATTTATTTATCATATTCATTGCATTCAGTGTATGATAAATGAAAAATTCATTATATTTTATATAATATAATTTAAATAAATTAAACCAAAATCTCATTTTTATTATGATAATAAGAGAATGGAGTCATAAATATTTATTTTGGTGTTTATTCTCTATGTTTCTCATATTTATGGAAACCATAAGAATATGTTTTGAATAAAATACTAGCCGTTAAAATGTAGAGAAATTGTCTGAACAGACACCGGATCATCAGTTTATAAATTACTATATTTTAAAGCGTTTCACAAATTCTAGCAACCAACTATTTTACTTTTTTCAACTCGCAACATTAATTATTGAGTTATTTTCTCTCGTTTTTATTATTATTGTTATTTTTATAACTCGCAAAATTCTCGGGACTATTTGTTATGTGTTTTATTTTTTCCATTTTTCAGTTATTTTATTTATTGTATTGAATATAATATAGTAGTTTACGGATAGGACATGACTCGTGAGCTTAACTTAAATAAATTATCACAACTCAGGGATGGCTTTAAACATCAATAATTCTTTAATAGTATATTCTCTGTCTTTTACACTCAACTGATTTGCTTTGTGTTTGTGTTACGAAAGTATCGATTTGTTTAAAGTCTCGCTAAAACTCGCGTCACATTTGTGTTAAAATTTTTATTAAATTACTTCCAATGAGTCGGAAACTTTTTAAATACTATGTTTTAATGTTATTGCCGAGCAAAATTTTTGCTTATGTAAGCATGAAATATCCTAAATTTTGACTATAAAATGTTAATTATATAAACACGTTAAATACTAATATTCCTAATTAATTGATCAATATTAAACTAATTTACAAAAACATTAATACTGTATATCTAATTATCTAATTATATCTCATTTAGACTGAAGACTAAAACACGTTAAAAATCAATCGCTTAAACCCACGGTTGAAAAAGTCTACGAGAAATGTGTGGCCAATAATCGCTTATCTGCTGATCTGTTATATAATAATTTGCTATTAAGTTATATAACAATTGTCGACAACATATATAAACAATAATAATAGAGAGCATTAGAGATGAATAAAAGAAATGGTGTTTCTCTGTGAATAAAACTATGTATTCGTTACGTCCGGCGCGCTCTCTGCCCTCATTAAGTGGAAGGCGATCCAGTTATCATCACCACTACCACCACCAGTCATCCATCAACTTAATCAACACGAGTCCGACGTTTTACTTCACGCCAGTTATGCCCAGAAAGATGATCGCAAAGCTATTGCAAGTATGTATGCATTTCGTTGTGATTCTCTCACAGAATTGAGTCTCAATTCTGTACTCATATTCTGCAAGCAATTTACCAAATTTATTAATAAATAATGACAATGCTATCATAAAAAGTTTTATTAATTAATTCTTGTCATTAATTCCTATATTGTATTCGCGATTCAAATAATATTTTAATGAAACGCATATTTTTTTGTGCGGAAATGAAATGAAAATTGTTTTTTCTGTTTTCTAATATATGTTTTATTTTTGCATTTATATGTATTGAGAAAACAGTGTTTCCATAATTTTAATGATATATGATTTGACTGCGAATTATCATTGAAGGCACAGATAGACAGTAAAAATCCCATTTGCACTGTAATAACATTTTTCCAGTAGTTTATGTTTAGGACTACTTTCCCTACATGTGGTGCGAATGAGATTTGAGATCACCATTAAAATGATATGAAAGTCATCCCATTATAGCTTAACCGAAAAAATTATCCCAAAAATAGTTAAGCCAATGCTTAGTCGACATCAATAGACCAATAGATCCATTACCAAAACAAATCCATTTCACAAATATAAATACATATCATAGCCGTCCACACGAGAGATACTGTATTGCTTACTAAACACGTCTTATGTTTGATTATTATTTATCTATTTTTCTTGTCTTATAAGAAAGTTTTTACCAAATAAATCAAATTTTTATTGTCTATAAACATCAGACTTTTATAGTGTTTATACGCGATCATAAATTCAAATCAATTATTAATAGTTAGCATAATATTTAGAAGTTATTTCTATAGTTATTAAAATAATGAATATTAAGTTTTCACTTAATATCTAATGTTTTATACAATGATTTTTTTGCCAACAACAGTATATGCAGTTAATAATTTTAATATAACTAATAAATCATATTTACGAATAGCTAACACTTGAAAATGTTTTATTATTTATAGATTTATCGGCAAAAGTGCTAATTTTCAGAAATACCCTATCATAAAGTGATTTATTGATCAAATGATCGCTTTTGACTATTTTATATATTAGAGATAAATGATTTCTCTATTATAAGTTTTTTGGTATTAGAAATTGTTATTAAAAAAATATGGCAATTATATTATAATTATGGTATACAATATTAATAATCAATTTGGCAAAAATAAGTTAAGTATTTAATAATATTTATGTAAACTGTTTCTGTGATCACATTAGACTTATATTTTTTAACTTGAATCCAGTCTATATGATATTATATAATATTTTGTGACTCCTATACAGAATGCAATATTATATGATGTGATATATTCTTCATACAATAAACGATAGTCTTATCACATGTTAAGGAATAAAGGGAATGATTGAACGGAAGGGAGAATTGAATAGAATTTGTGTTGAATTGTGTGTTAATGTAAGGGATGAACAAATCGTTGCCATTATTATGGCATTGGATGCGAGAGAATTGTTTCGATATGTTTGTCATTTAGTCTACAAAAATACAAATGTATAGCAATTGTATTGATTGTTTGGACGCACAGGGATTGAGACAAATGTGAATCATAAAGAAAATATCATTCGATAACAATAAAGATAATAATATGCGACCATTTGTCATTTGGTCTAATGGCTCAACACTACGACCAAAGATTATATCTAATTAGTAATTACTTCTCTTATTTGGACCCAACATTCACCCAATTCTGCTGTAATTTGATTAGTGTTTCTAAATACTGTATAACGTTGTCTAAAGTTGTTCATAAGTTTGTCTATTTGTATGATTAATTCACTTATTTTGTTGTAAATTCTTTTCATAGTTTATATTTTTCGTCATTTTGATGGTAACCGTTATAATAAACATACTCTTCATTGTGGACACAACTCAAAGACTTCGAAGTGAATCCAAAATTAGCGGTATATTTCATAAACAACTTTTACATAAATATTTATGTATTTTATTTCTGTTTTCTATATCTGTTTCTAATATTACAGACGATTCCTCTGCAAACGATGTCAGACCTAATAGTCTTAAACTACAAGAAAGTCATAACAGAGTTCTTAAAGTGGAAGTGTTGTCGAGTCAGTCAAAGGTGTCGATCACTGTCGACGGAACTACAGTAAGCCATGACTTGTTTGAAATATTATATAAATTATTTGAATTTAACATAAAATTTTTCAAAAACAGATTTTAGACGATTCCGATGAGAACAAGGGTCGCGGTATTCATGTGCTTGTATTGCATCAGTCGACCGGTTCAGTGATGGCTCAGCGACTGTTTGACACGTATTCGCCACATGAAGACGAAGCCATGTCTTTGTTCCTATCGATGATAACTGACGGACGGATTATCATACTTTGCATCAAAGACGAGGGAACCTTTCAAATGAAACAATCGACTCGAGATGTGCTCAAGAGATTGGGTTCTCTGCGGTCGCAACAGATTGGTTGGCGGGATATGTGGGCAATGGTCGCACAAAAAGGGGGGAAAATGTTGGCCGAGAGTTACAACCGGTCGCCTGAATTCAACAGTTGGGGCGCACCTGTCATGCTTCGGGTGGAGATAGGGCTGAGCTCTGTGTCGGACAGCGAATGCAATTGGAGTCAAAACGATGAGAATGTGAGACGAAAAAACTTTTGCTCCCATATTGAGGGCTACGGTAGTGTCTGCAGCTGTGCAGAGCCGGCACCACTGAGTCTCACCGGAAAAGTAAACTTCTCGGACCCCATATCTGCCGTTCCCGTCGCTATTGTAGCCTCCAATAGACCGCACTATTTGTACCGAATGTTGCGGTCGCTGTTGTCTTCCACGGGATGTAATCCATCGATGATTACTGTTTTCATTGACGGCTACTTTGAAGAGCCTTTGGAAGTGACGAAACTATTTGGTCTGAGAGGTATCCAACACACGCCCATCGGTGTGGGCAACGCCCGTATTAGTCAGCACTATAAGGCCAGTCTGACGGCCACTTTCAACCTCTTTCCCGACTCTAAATACGCGATTATATTAGAGGAAGACTTAGACGTATCGCCAGATTTTTTCACATATTTTTCTCAAACTATGAGATTATTAGACGAAGACGAGTCCATATACTGCATCAGCGCCTGGAATGACCAGGGTTATGAACACACCACCGCTGACCCCTCACTACTTTATCGCGTGGAGACAATGCCCGGCTTGGGTTGGCTCCTGAGTCGTCGGCTTTACAAAGAACAGTTGGAACAGAGTTGGCCCACACCTGAAAAGCTATGGGATTGGGATATGTGGATGAGATTACCAGACATCAGACGCCAACGAGAATGCATTGTTCCCGACGTCTCGCGAACCTATCATTTCGGTTCATCGGGTCTTAACATGAATTCCTATTTCCAAGACATTTATTTCAAGAAACACGCCTTCAATACAATGCCTGACATTAAGATGAAAGACATCGACAGGTATTTCTTGGAAACTATCCAATCAAATAAGTGATGACTTATTGTTTCTATTTGTTGCGAAATAGTGTCAAAAAAGACAATTACGAGCGCCTGATACACAACTTATTACGGAAGGCCATAGTCGTGGACCACTCGAAGAGTCCGTGTGAACACAACTTCATTCCCGACACCAAAGACCAGACGTACGTCGTGTTCATCAAAATGAATGCCCCCAAAGACTACTCCACTTGGCTGGCAGTCGCCAAATGTTTGAAAATCTGGGATCTGGACCCTCGCGGGTACCACAACTCGATGTGGAGGTTCTTCTATAAGGGGAACCACGTGCTGGTGGTGGGCGTCCCCAACAGCCCCTACTCTTCGTTCAAACCCTCTCACGTGACGCCTATCTATTTGGAGGACAAGAAGATAGACGTGAACCGATTGAAGTGAACACTTAATTAACTAATAATTATTTGTTTTAAAATTAATTGTTATCAAGAGATATATTAGACAACATCTGCCAAACAGTTTGTGTTGTATTTGTTAAGCTATAGACTGAAAGCATGGATTAGATTAAGACTTAAATCAATGTGAAAGCATGGATCAGATTAAGACTTAAATCAATGTGAATGCAATCAATAATGTTTGGACAAAACGGATTGGTTTTGGATTAGAGGAAAACATTTGTGCCAAACATTTTGTCTAATATACTGTATGGCACTTAGCATTAAGTCCAATCAAATCAAGACTTAATTGTGTGCTTATTATTGATGGCATCTGTGATATGATATTTGTATTGATATTTGTTTTTTATTTTGAATTTATTTGCGATTAAATGAATCGCAAAACTTTTAATATCTTTTAATCGCTAGTCTCTCATGTATTGATCGTATGGTCTTATTATTGAATATTGAAATTAATAGTGATTTAAAAATATGAAAATCAACCCAATCGTCAAACCTATTGATTAGAAGTTTTCAATATATTCAACAATTTTTTCAAAGTTAAAACAATTTTTTAATTTTAGTTTACTTAATAAATTTATTTAAACCATTAATTTACTTTATATTTAATAATTTAAACAAAATATAAAATTGAAATAAAAATGAATTGAATTGACTTTATAATTGTAAATAAATTATATTTAAATGTTTTTCGACTTGTATTTAAATCCATTTAAACTCAAGAGTCGACGGATGGTGTGCTAACTTTATCTTCAGGGCCTCGTATTGAGTCAAATACGGGAATTTGGGGAAACAGAGGCCTCGGGTCATCCCCGTCTCCATATCTTGTTGGGTAATACACGGACTTCCGTCACAAGACTTTTCCTCTTTAGCCGATGCAATGTCTTTGGATCCGTCACAGGAGTATACTGTCCTGAACTTGCAGGTAGATTGAGGGCTGGCTGTTGTTAGATATCCCCCGCAAACGGTGCCTTTGATCTGTTTGGGGCAATTGCATCCCTGTGCCACCAATCCATACAACTGAATGATCAGTAAAATGGCAAATACTTTGGTCATTACAAACATATCTAATCTGTTGATTAAATTGTGAAAATGGCAGAAAATATGTTTTGAAATTCAATACACAT